GGGGGGGGGGGGAATCGCGTTAACTTTTCTCTGTAAAATGAGAATAATACAGTACCCATCTCCCAAAGCTCTGCCCACACACGTGAAATACCCAAGCTCCTGCTAGCACCCGTAAGCACTTAACAGCTGTTTAATTAAATACCAGAACCCGTGTAGTAGGAAAAAAGACACCTTTCAGTTTTAAAGGCACATCAACGTCTCTTAGGAAGGACGTACCGACAGCGGTACTGAACTGGGCTTTCAGTTTTTTAGTATAGGTATACTATTCTCGCTAGAGACGAGCGACTTCTCAGTTAAATACGCCGTTAATCTTAAATAAGGCAAAGCCGTTTCAAGTGCAATTTAGAAATTCAAAGCAATTTACAAAAGAGCTTGACTTAGCCACTAAGTCATTTCTGCCCAACTTCTCTAGTGCAGGCGCGGCTTCGAGTGTCTTACATACTTCTGTGCCTCTCGCACACCTCTGCCTCACCCAACTTTTTAAAAACCTTTAAACCTCAAGGCAGAATCGCTAGGTTTTCGTCCTCTCGGGCGGCGCCCCCTCGGCCTCGGGTCTCCCTCTCAGAACTCTTTACCCTTTTCTAAGAAGTTGATCACCACCAGAGTCCCGGCCGCCACGGCAGAAGCTGTGGCCCCCGCAGAAAAGGAAGCAGCGGAGGCCGAGGGCGAACCATTCCCGGCGCTTTGGTTCAACCGTTTTCTGTTCTTCTTGGACGACATGATCGGAAGGCAGCCCAAGAGAAGCAGCGGCAAAGCCGGCTCAACGTGCGCGCTTCGCTGAGAGAAAAACTTCCGGGGCAGAAACCAGCGAGGCTCCGTCCCGCGCCGTAATCCCCTGAGTGGAGCGCAGCAAGAGTGGGAGAACATAACGTCTTCAGAATCCGCTGTCGTTGAAGAAGTGGAAGACGTTCTGACTTTCGCCAAAGAAGATGGATTAGGTGGACGGAACCCTCATTTAGATTATAAATTCCTGAAAAACAGGACTTTTTCGTATCTCCGCCTCCTCTATCCCTGAAAAAAATGTCTGTTGAATTAAACTGAGGTGGGGGTGGAGGGAACAGGGGAGGGAGGGGGAGTGGTGGGAAAGTTTCTGTCGCTTTCCTTGAGCTGGGCAAATTCTTGAGAGGAGCCGATCGACTGGACTTCGCAGTCTACCTAGCGCTGCAGACCCCTGCTCAACTCTGAGAATGGGTGAGTGACACTCTTCTAAAACTTACGGTAGCGCCGTCACTCCCTGGCCGCGTGATTTGGGAGCGTCCGCCTGGGCCACGAGGGCCGGTGAGGAGATGCTGCAGCTACTGAGAGGGGGCTGCTGGCTTGCGGTGCTGGCGCGGACCCGCTGCACAGTGCTCTTTGCAGGACCCCGCGGGGCCTCGGGCGGCCCGGGTTGCGCTCGGGACGCCACCTCCGGAGCCGGCGAGCTGCGGGGCGAGCTTGACAGATTCGGGGGCGTCTCCGTGCGCCTGGCGCGGCTGGACGCAATACACCGCTTGGACCCGGTCGCCTTCCAGAGGTCCTTGCAGGGCAAGTGCGCCTGGTCCGAGGCTCCCCTGCCTTTCTAAGGAAGTAACCGCGGCCCCCAACCCCGAGTCGCGCCTGAGGGAAGGAGAGAGGGCGTGCGTGACCCGCAGCCGTTTTCTGCCTTTCGTTCTTGTGCCCTTGGCTGGGAGGTCTCTGAGGCGGTTGGGTGAAATGGTGACGAGCTCAGACTTTGGGATCGGCAGCCCTTGTTTCTGGTCATCTTTCTAGTGTGTGACCTTGGGCAAGTTCTGTAAACCACCGTTTTCTCATCTGTAAAACCAGGTAATAGGAGCTCATGGGATGGCTGAGAGATAAACTGCATAATGCATATGAAGTGCCTCGCACGGTATCTGCCACGTATTTAACGCTCTGTAAATGCTTGTTGATATTATTACGCTCTCGTTTACTATCACTTACCGACCCTTCGTTTCGCCGGACAGTTTGCCCAAGGCAGCACCGTAGCATTTTCCAGTACAGGTGGTGGACAGTGAGTGGGCCAGAGAGGTTCTGAGTGGTCGTATTTGTGCACAAGTTGGGTCAGGAGCTGTGGCGCCGAGAGCTAGAGTTTGCTTTTCCTTAGTAACAAGCCTTTTGTGATTCACCGGGGAGATTGGTGAGTGGTTTCAGTCTCCAGTGGGAAAACTCGCCACTCTCTTTGAACCTTGAGTTCAGTGATAAGAAAGATAGCTTGGATGGAGGAGCCTTCACTTTGAGAGCCCGTGATTTGGCAGAGCAGCCTGTTTTTCACACTGCCCCTGAGGGCCCTTATAATCAACTTGAAAGCATAGCATGGAAACTCATCCTCTCACACTTAGAGGAAACTGAAAGTAATCTTTATCCTATGGAGCAATATGGCAAGTGAGCATCTATGGAAATATAACTGAGCTAGTCGTTTTCATCTTCAACCATCCTCAGTTCTAAACTGTTTACCTGTTCACCTTGTTTTCTCTCCTCCTTGGGGACAGCTGCTAACTACAACAGTGTTAACAGTACGAGAATCAAACGTTCATCCTCTAATATGTGCACGTTTGTGTGGGTAGACACAGGTATTTATTGTACACACTTGTTACTTGTCAGTGATTAAAGCACTACCTCAGTCAGGAAGGCAAAGCAGGAAGTGGGTTGGATTTGGAGTCACACATCCAGGTTTCAAGTCCCAGGATTTACCACATGCTTAACCAGGTATTAGGAAAATCACCACTGAAAATATTTGCCTCTTAGGTTGCTTATGTGAATAATGCCCACTCTAACTACTTTACTGGATAGATGTGGTAATCAAAGATAAATTACATGAAACTAATTTATAAACTCTGAAGTACCATATTCTTTTGTATCTTTTTAATAAATTCTTTTGTACTTACTAAGTGCTAGACACTGTTTTAAGAACTTCAAAAGTATTGATTCATTTAATCCTCATACCTGTGTGGTAGGTACTATTATTATCCCCATTTCAAAGATGATGGTACTAAGAGATAGATTAACTTCCCCTGGCTCTAGAATTTGTTCTTGGCTGCACTATAAGAGCTATTGCTGGGTTTTTTGTTATTGAGTCAAACAAAAATGAATGGTATTGCCTATAAAAAGAATCTTAAAATTATCTGAGAAGAAAGCCTGGTGAGAAGTCTAAATGTGTTCTTTCTTTTCAAGTAAATAGAACTGATTGCCTATAATGTATTAGCAATAGTTTTGTACCTTTGCACGTGAGGTCTATTCTTTTACTGTTCTCATTATTGATAACTAAAGTTAGATGGATGAAGAGGTAATATGTTGCTAAGCTTCACATATATCTGCATCAGTGGGGAAATAACACTGGTTCTGGTTCTTGCTGTGCCACTCACTAGCTGTGTGACTTTAGACAAGCCAGTCCTTGAATAGGAATTGAGCCCCAGTGCATAATCTCATGTTATCCTGGATGATTGCAAATGCACAAAATATTAATTAGGATTAGAAAAACAGACAGTAACAGGTGTCACTAGGCAATGTGTAGTAAGTTCTAGTAAATCTACTAGAAAGTAGTCCTTAGGTTCACATTTGGAAAGCACGTGAGGAAAGCTTATTGTCAAAGAGGTGGTATGTGAGCTCACTTTGAGGGCTGGATCTGAGCAGAGGGATGAGGGAAAGAGGAGGAGAAAGCATTAAGGTTTATTAGTGAAACAGAGAAGAAAGAAAGCATTTTAAAAAAGATTATTAGGCTTTGAGCATTGGAGCCAGAAAAATGCCTGTAAGCAAAACTAAGGTGGCTGGTGTAGGAATCAGTTTTGAATATAGGTGTGAAGTTTGAGGCAGCAGCCTTCAGAAGATGCGAGCAGCTGAAGAGCAGAAAAATTCAGTGTTCAGTGAGGCCAGGACGAGGCAGCCACCCTTACACAGTTGTTAGCCGAAGCAGTAGCAGTGGGCAGATTCTCCACACTTTGAGGGCTGGATCCGAGCAGAGGGATGTGGGAAAGAGGAGGAGAAAGCATTAAGGTTTATTAGTGAAACAGAGAAGAAAGAAAGCATTTTAAAAAAGATTATTAGGCTTTGAGCATTGGAGCCAGAAAAATGCCTGTAAGCAAAACTAAGGTGGCTGGTGTAGGAATCAGTTTTGAATATAGGTGTGAAGTTTGAGGCAGCAGCCTTCAGAAGATGCGAGCAGCTGAAGAGCAGAAAAATTCAGTGTTCAGTGAGGCCAGGACGAGGCAGCCACCCTTACACAGTTGTTAGCCGAAGCAGTAGCAGTGGGCAGATTCTCCAAGCCAGAGTGTAAAGAGATAAAATAGGAAATAAGTGACTATACTTGTAGAACTTCAGCTTTTTCGTTTGATTGGAATGATTGGGAAGTAGGACACGGGAACTTTCTGGGGTGATAGAAATGTTCTGTAATCTTGACTCGAGTGTGGGTGGCACAGATGTATGCATAGGTCAAAACTCACCAAATGTTCACTTAAGGTTTGTGCATTTCACTTTATGTAATCCTGTCAGTTTTTAAAAAGATTTAATCAGAGAAGGATTGATGTGAGAAGGATCTGAAGGGGCGCCACAGCCCCAAATCAAAAGGTCCGTTAAATTAAGGCTCCCACATTGTCTGTCACTGTTAGGCACACTGACTTCAAAAAGGTAGAGAAAGATGGTCCTTAACCAGGAGATGCTTACTGCAGAGGCCATAGAAGAGGGGGGAAAGGAATCTAGCCATTAAATAAATAATCAAGTCTTTCCCCCTCTCTCCACACACACTTTACAGGATTGTTGTAAAGATCGCGATGGTGGATGGAGAAAGTGATCTGAAAAGTTTTTCTAAATCTGTGGAAGTATTCATTTCTTCACCTATAAATTAGGGATGATAATACCTGCCTTTCATGTTGTGAGAACTTAAACAGTGTATCTAAAATGTCTGGAATTTAGTAAGGGCCATATAAATGTTAGCATCTTTTTTCCCTGGCTCAATCTCAAGTAATAAAGTAAGAGAATTTAAAGTCAAAGACCGAAAATCTATTTTAATGTTTGTCATGGTATAATTTGTAATAAAGGAAAGTTGAAACAATCTAAATGTCCAAAAGTAGGAGGTCAGTTAAGTAGTTTATGGTATACCTATATGAAGAAAATTACACAGTCATTAAAAATGTGTGTTCATTAAAGAATTATAATGGCATAGCAAAACGTTTATAATATGAAGTAAAAAAAAATGTTGTAAATTATATATGGTATGTCAATTCCAAAATTATATTCATGCAAAAAATGTCGATTTTAAATTTATCTGTGTGCTAATATGAAGTTTTGATTTCTTCATTGTACTTTATTTTGAAAATTTTCTAGAACTACCATACATTATTTAACAACAAAGTTATATTTTTCACCTTGAAATGTATAAACCAAATATATATATATGTGTGTGTGTATATATATATATATACACACACACATATATATGAGAGACATGACTTTTAAAGGAAGAGTAAATAAAAGCCCATAATAGTCATTTATAAAGATGAAAACCAAGATTGTTAAAAGGAACAACAATGAAACGGTGTTTTATTTAAATCAGTTTATTTGTTCATTTTAATACAATTATTGAGCACCAATTATGTGCCAGGTATTGTGTCAGGTGATATATAAAGATCATCACTATATTGACTTTATTTTCAAGGAATTCAGTCTGGTCGAAAAATCATATATAATTATAATAAAATGTGGTAGTTTACGTGCTGCTGATGTATGTGAACAGTACGTTTTGCGATTCCCCCGTGCCGCCCGCCCGCCCCCCCGCCCCCAAAGAGAGCTAACTAGTAAGGGAATTGGAGCTTAAACTTGGCTTCCTGGAGGAGGTGACACCCAGAGATGAGTTTTACTTTATTCCACTCCTCTCACTGGAAAATATTTATAGATGTTTATCTTCTGCATTTTAGCTGCAATACAGAAATGGAGATCAGAAGGTAGAGTAGCAGTATGGCTGCACATTCCCATCCTCCAAAGTCGATTTATTGCCCCTGCCGCTTCCCTGGGCTTCTGCTTTCACCACGCAGAATCGGACTCATCCACGCTGACTCTGTGGCTGGGAGAGGGGCCCAGCAGATTACCAGGATATGCTACACATCAAGTGGGAGTTGCAGGTCTGTTTCAAACTAATGTTAATCACAACTAACTTTAAAGGTTCACGCAGTTTCTTCTTACAGATGAGCCAGTAGTTGGTTCATGTGGAATGAATAAGTTGATTAAATGATTGTCCTTGGAACTGCAGCTGGTATTGATACTTTAAATAGATGAAGTTTGCCTTATGAATCAGCAGAGGGCAGCACAGAGAACAAGCAAGTTTAGTTTTTCAAAGGATATGTTTGAACATGTTTTTCATGGATATGTGAACTTCACTACTGAAATAGTAACAATGAATTGGGATCAGGGAATAGATTCATTTCATTATGGTAAAACATATTAGTACTAATTATGTGATTAGTAAAATAAAAGATAACTTTTAAGTTGAATTTAACGCAAAGCAAACCAGTTTTTCAGTGATTTGAACATTACTTCTTAGAGACATTTACATTAAGTCATTGTGCCAAACTGTTGTTTTAAAATAGCATAATTTAAATACAGAATTTTCAAGTCACTGGTTAGCTTCAGAGACAGTCTTGAGAGAAGACTTGCTTTAGGTGAAGACAGGAGTTCTCACATTGTAGAGAGTGCATCAGAATCACCAGGAGGGCTTGTTAAAACAGATTGCTTGGCCCCAGCCCCAAGATTTTCTAATTCAGTTGGTCTGGGGTGGGGCCTGAGAATTGCTTTTTCTAATAAGTGCTCTGCTGCTACAGCTGCTAGTGTTGATGCTGGTCCTAGGACTACCCTTTGAGAACCAGGGTTAAGAAAACTAGATTTCCAAAAAAACAAAAATAGGAAAGAATCCTTATGATTCACTATGAAATAAAGCAGTAATATGTATTATTAGTAATTTATTAATAATAGTATTATTTGCCTTTATATAACTTACAAGAGTTTTTAAAGGTAGTTTGCATCTTTGAAGTCTTTTAAAGGAGTTGTTCAAGGATTTCTAATGTTTTCTCTGTCCACGGTCTCACTCCCCTCTAGCAAGTAGAGGCAATTCAGCAACTTCCCATTCAGCTCTACTTCAAAAGACCACTTGAAAATTTGATGGCAGCCTCACACTTCGTGGGAAAGACATAGAGATAATTATCAATTCATTGGTACAGACTTTCAAAGCAGAGTTTCCAGTTAGTAGTACAGAATTGGTAATATATGCGTAAAGAGTATCCTATGAAGAACTTGTTTATAACCAAGTACAGTATGGTATATTAGAGTTAAGATACGCCACAGGAGTTCAGGGAATGAGAGGTCGGAAACTTGAGAGTCTTGAAGGCCAGCTAGGATTTGAAGTGGCTGTTGGGATCAGGAGGTGGTGTAAGGAATTCTTCTGGGAAGGTACAGAGTTTTTAGGTGAAGAGAGAATAGCTGATACTTGTTTATAAGCTGCAGAAGGCGTAGCTGGTGAAGGGAGTCACAGCCCGCCACCCCAAGTGCCCCTTTGGCACGTTGATCATTCTGAGCTTTCTGCCTAAAGCAGGGTATAAATTTCATCTCCCACGAAGAGGAGAACATTCTTGTCACTGGAGCCAGGGAGTTGGCACAGAGATGAATCTGTGCAAACCTCGTGAAAACAGCCATTATATTCTGTTAGTTCCCCATATAGTTCCTAGTCACTTTTTCAGTTTACCTTCCTTAGCCCACACCCCTTTTCCTTTTGTCATTTCTGCACAATTTATCCCTCTTTCTTAAAATGGAACATAAGCCCCTGGGTCTAACACTTTGGGGGGAACTTCACTTCTTTCTATGAAGTTCTCCACCCCTACTCAGGCCACGTAAAGTTATTAACATCAAATAAAATTTATATACTTCTTATCTATTTATCTGTACTTTGTCAGTTCAACTCACAGGTCCCAGACGCAGAACCTAAGTGGGTAGAAGAAAAAAATCTTTCCTCCCCTACACTGGAATGGAGGGAGCTATGGCTCTCTTTCTGTTCTTCATGCAGCAAGCTTTTATCTGCCTCAGAGCCTTTAAACCTACTGGCTCCTCTTCCTGCAGTGCTCTGCCCCAGGGCTTTGTTTATGGAGCTCTTTAGAGCTGAAATATCTCCTCAGAAAAGCTCCTGACCTTACTGCATAAAATAGAGTCCTCCCACCTGCCAGTCCCATCATCCTTTGTCCCTTTATCCTCTGTTTTTCTTTATAGTACTTATCACAGTTTGAAATTATGTCATATACTTAATCGACCCCACAATAATATAAACTCCACGAAGGCAGGTATTTTATCTGTCTTGCTTACCATTTTATCCTCAGGCTAAACACAGTGTCTGGTGTAAAGTAGGTGCTCAATAAATGTTTCTTAAATGAATGGTTGGGTAGATCTTCAGTTGGCAATGTCAGCCCTCTGAAAAGGCAGTTGTAGTGTGGTGAAGGGGCAGTGTCGCACAATGAGAATACCTGCTTGGGACCCAGACGGGACGTCAGTTTTAGGGCTGTGTGAACTTGGGCACTCAAAATTATGCCACTCACAGGATTATTATGAGGAATGGCTAAGATAATGCACCTAAGGCACTTAGTACAGTACCTGACTAATTATAATATAATAATAACCTCTATTTAATCCCTGATCTCTTTGGGTTTATTTAACTTTTATGTTGTGACCAACAGGGGTCGCTCATATTGTGTTTAGCAGTGCTGATTTTGGCTCATGTTTATACTGAATTAGGAAAAAGTTCAATTTGAGCAATCACAAATTATTAAAATTTAAGAATAGGTTTTCCTGGCATTCTATCCCTTGTAAAGTCCAGTTAAATTACAGTTTATATTTTCTAATAGAATCCAACATTAAATATATCTCACTTTGTGGTTTTCCTTCTTGGGTTTGAAATACTAAAATGTGGTGTTTTAATTTCAGAGAACATTGTTCTTCCTTGTGTTGCACGTATCTATTCCCTACTATATTTTACCTTTACATAGTATTTATCACCATCTCATGTTCTATTTGATTAATTTTTTATTTATTTGTCACCTCCTCAAACACACACTAAAACACAAACCCCGTAACGATGGGGAATTTTGTTTTGTTCACCACTGTATCACCACAGTGGTGATAGGCACTAGAAAAGTGTATCACCACAGGCACTAGAAAAGTACCTGACTCATAATAGGATCTCAGTTAATATGCTATACATAGAACCTGTATGTATTATATATAGGAGCTCAGTTAATATTAAAAGAATTGGTGAGTAAGTGGAAAATATGTTTTTTTTGTTGTTTTGTTTTTGTTTTTGTTTTTTTTCTGTACGCGGGCCTCTCACTGCCGTGGCTTCTCCCGCAGCGGAGCACAGGCTCCGGACGTGCAGGCCCAGTGGCCATGGCTCACAGGCCCAGCCGCTCCGCAGTATGCGGGATCCTCCCGGCCCGGGGCACGAACCCGCGTCCCCTGCATCAGCAGGCGGACCCCCAACCACTGCCCCACCAGGGAAGCCTGGAAAATATGTTTTTAACAGTATCTTCCCACATTATGTAAATACAAATAATTTTTAAATTATAGCATTTAAAGGAACCTAATACAAATTATTAGTGTCATTTGTATTTTTGACCTAGGATTACCCAAAGAGAGGAAAAAAAAAAATTATTTTTGAGTCCCTAACATCTAGTAAAATGCCTAGTACACTGGGCAATGTATATGATGAATGAGTAAATGAAAGCAATGGACTAGAACTTAAATATAAATGTTCCAAAGCAATATATTGGTAAGTTATAACATTGTGTACATAACATGGTAAAGAAGTGTAAGTGCTTTAAGGAGGAGGTCTTGAACTGAATATTGAGATATTTGAGATTTGGATCATCAGGGAGCACGACCCATGTTTATACATAGTGATTCAAGGAATAAAAATGAGAATGGAAAAGTCAATTCATTGACTCAATAAATCTTTTTAGGCATTTAAAATTGGACACTAATAGATGATCTTATTTGCAAAACAGAAATAGAGATGCAGACATAGAGAACAAACATATAGACACCAAAGGAGGAAGCGGGGAGGGGGGGTGGGATGAATTGGGAGATTGGGACTGACACATATACACTATTGATACTAGCATAAAAATAGGTAACTAATGAGAACCTACTGTATAGCACAGGGAACTCTACTCAGTGCTCTGTGGTAACCTAAATGGGAAGGAAATCCAAAAAAAGGGGATATATGTATACGTATAGCTGATTCATTTTGCTGTACAGTAGAAACTAACACAACATTGTAAAGCAACTATACTCCAATAAAACTTAATTTAAAAAAAATAAAATTGGACACTAAACACTAAAAAAGGATAGAAAGATTATTTATACTGTCAGGAATAGATGATCTAGAGAAGGAGATGCAAATGATTATCCTACGAGTTAGCATATGCTAGAATCATCATTGGTACTCTTAAGTTGTTAAAAGAACGTAGATAACTGAGCAACTGATTTCTTGGTGGAGAAATTTACAACTCTTCATGAATGAGGTGGTTATTTGAAGTAGGCCTTCAGGGATGGGTAGGATTTTGATGACCACAGGTAATAGTGTGGGAGTAGTCTGAGGTGAATGAAATTCATATTTCTCAATTATCTTCCCCCCCCCAACAGGAGCTGTATTTGATGAAAATACTAGAAAAATATTGGTTGTACAAGATCGAAATAAAGTAAGTTGTTTCTGCTTTATAAATTGCTTTCTAAATGTTCTATCTAGAGAAAAATAAAGTGTAGAATTTTGATATGCTCAAAGAATTATAGAAAGATTTTTTTTAATTTACTCTGATCAATATTTTTTTATTGACATATGCTTGATTTACAATGTTGTGGTAATTTCTGCTGTACAGCAAAGTGATTCAGTCATATATATATATTCTCTTTTAAATATTCTTTTCCATTACAGTTTATCATAGGATATTGAGTATAGTTTTCTATGCTATACATTAGGACCTTGTTGTTTATCCCCTGTACATATAAAAGCTTACATCTGTTAACCCCAACCTCCCACTCCATCTCTCCCCCAACCCTTTCCCCCTTGGCAACCACCAATCTGTTTTCTATGTTCATGAGTCTGTTTCTGTTTCATAGGCAGGTTCATTTGTGTCATATTTTAGATTCCACACGTAAGTGATATCATATGGTATTTCTCTTTCTGACTTACTTAGTATGATAATCCGTAATTGCATCCATGTTGCTGCAAATGGCACTATTTTGTTCTTTTTTATGGCTGAGTAGCATTCTATTGTATATATGTACCACATCTTCTTTATCCATTCATCTGTCAATGGACATTTAGGTTGTTTCCTAGTCTTGGCTGTTGTGAATAGTGGTGCTGTGGTAGGAGGGAGTGTTCTAATTTCATTGATTTACATGTAGCTGTCCTACTTTGCCAACATCATTTGCTGAAGAGACTGTTTTTTTCCCATTGTATATTCTTGCCTTCTTTTTCAAAGATTAATTGACCGTAGGTATGTGGGTTTATTTCTGGGCTCTCTATTCTGTTCCATATTTCTGTTTTTGTGCCAATACCATGCTGTTTTGATGACTATAGCTTTGTAGTATTGTCTGAAGTCTGGCAGAGTTATACCTCCTGCTTTGTTCTTTTTCCTGAGGATTGCATTGGCAATTCTGGGTCTTTTATGGTTCCATATGAATTTTGGGATTTTTCTCATTCTGTGAAAAATGTCATGGGTAATTTGATGTGGATCACATTAAATCTGTAGATCGCTTTGGTTAGTATGGCCATTTTAACAATATTAATTCTTCCAATCCAAGAGCATGGGATATCTTAGAAGGATATTTTTAAAGTCATTTCTAAGGCATTGTTGATCATTTGGATATGTATTTAATCCAAAAAACACTTATCCAGGCCTTAAAAATGTCAGAGTAACCTTAGTATTCCTAAGTATTATTTTATGACTACAAAAAAATTATAAATGGCTATATTTAATTAGGAAGACAAACTCTGTTTCTAACAAGCTGTTAAGATATTATTCCACTCATTCAATATTCATTAAGCTCCTACTCTGAGCCAGGTGCTAAGAATACAAAGATTAATAAGACAGTATCCCTGATGTCCTGTAGCTTACTATCATTTTGGGAAAGTAGTCATATAACAGATTGTTAACAATTAACTTCACCTTTAAAAAGCCCCTAAAGACTTCTCCTTGGAAGTAACATTTAAATTGGGTCTTGAAGAATGAGTAGGAGATTCGAGGCAAAACAAAAACAAAACAAAACAGAAGGGGCTTCCCTGGTGGCGCAGTGTTTGAGAGTCCGCCTGCCGATGCAGGAGACGCGGGTTCGTGCCCCGTTTCGGGAAGATCCCACATGCCGCGGAGCGGCTGGGCCCGTGAGCCATGGCCACTGAGCCTGCGCGTCCGGAGCCTGTGCTCCGCAAATGGGAGAGGCCACAACAGTGAGAGGCCCGCATAATGCAAGGAAAAAAATAAAAATAAAAAAATAAAAAATAAAAAACAAAACAGAACAAAAACCAGGGTGGGGAAGGGAGGTGGGGTAGAAAAACAGACTGAGAAAATTAGAATTGCATATATAAAGTCACAGAGTTCAGAAAGGGGCTGACATGGTGTCTTAGTCCATTCATGCTGCTATAACAAAAATACCATAGACTGGATAGCTTAAACAACAAAACATTTTTTTCCCTAATTATTATTTTATTTTGGAGTATAGTTCATTAACAATGTTGTGTTAGTTTTAGGTGTACAGCAAAGTGATTCCGTTATACATACACATGTATCTATTCTTTTTCAAATTCTTTTCCCATTTAAGTTATTAAAGAATATTGAGCAGAGTTCCCTGTGCTATACAGTAGGTCCCTGGTGATTATTTTATATATAGTGGTGTGTATGTGTTAATCCAAAACTTCTAATTTATCCCTCCCCACCACGTTTCCCCCACCTGGCAACAACCACAAGTCTGCTTTCAAAGTCTGTGATTCTGTTTCTGATTTGCAGATAAGTTCATTTGTCTCTTTTTTTTTTTAACATTTCACACATAAGTGACATCATATGATATTGTCTTTGTCTAACTTCATTTAGCATGATAATGTCTAGGTCCATCCATGTTGCTGCAAATGGCATTATTTCATTCTTTTTTTATGGCTGAGTAATAGTCATTGTATATATATATATATCACATCTTCTTTATCTGTTCATCTGTCCATGGAAATTTAGGTTGCTTTCATGTCTTGGCTATTGTAAAAAGCGTTGCAATGAACACTGGTTGTATGTATCTTTTCGAATCATGCTTTTCTTTGGATATATGCCCAGGAGCGGATTGCTGGATCATATGGTAATCCTATATTTAGTTTATTAAGGAACCTCCATACTGTTCTCTATAGTGACGGTACCAATTCACATTCGCACCAGCAGTGCAAGAGTGTTCCCTTATTCTCCACACCCTCTCCAGCATTTATTGTTTCTAGATTTTTTGATGATGGCCATTCTGACTGGTGTGAGATGATATCTCATTGTAGTTTTGATTTGCATTTCTCTAATGATTAATGATGTTGAGCATTCTTTCATGTGTTTGTTGGCAATCTGTATATATTCTTTGGAGAAATGTCTATTTAGGTCGTGTGCCCAGTTTTGGATTGGGTTGTGTGTTTTTTTGTTATTGAGCTGCGAGAGCTGCTTGTAAATTTTGGAGATTAATCCTTAGTCAGTTGCTTCATTTGCATATATTTTCTCCCATTCTGAGGGTTGTCTTTTGGTCTTGTTTATGGTTTCCTTTGCTCTGCAAAAGCTTCGAAGTTTGATTAGGTCCCATTTGTTTATTTTTGGTTTTATTTCCATTTCTCTAGGAGGTGGGTCAAAAAGGATCTTGCTGTGATTTATGTCCTAGAGTGTTCTGCCTATGTTTTCCTCTAAGAGTTTGGTAGTGTCTGGCCTTATATTTAGGTTCTTAATCCATTTTGAGTTTATTTTTGTGTATGGTGTTAGGGAGTGTTCTAATTTCATTCTTTTACATGTAGCTGTCCAGTTTTCCCAGCAACACTTATTGAAGAGGCTGTCCTTTCTCCACTGTATATTCCTGCCACCTTTATCAAAGATAAGGTGACCATATGTGCATGGGTTTATCTCTGGGCTTTCTATCCTATTCCATTGATCTATCTTTCTGTTTTTGTGCCAGTACCATACTGTCTTGATTACTGTAGCTTTGTAGTATAGTCTGAAGTCAGGCAGCCTGATTCCTCCAGCTCCATTTTTTGTTCTCAAGATTGCTTTGGCTATTCGGGGTCTTTTGTGTTTCCATACAAATTGTGAAATTTTTTGTTCTAGTTCTGTGAAAAATGCCAGTGGTAGTTTGATAGGGATTGCATTGAATCTATAGATTGCTTTGGGAAGTAGAGTCATTTTCACAATGTTGATTCTTCCAATCCAAGAACATGGTATATCTCTCCATCTGTTTGTATCATCTTTAATTTCTTTCATCAGTGTCTTATAATTTTCTGCATACAGGTCTTTTGTCTCCTTAGGTAGGTTTATTCCTAGATATTTTATTCTTTTTGTTGCAGTGGTAAATGGAAGTGTTTTCTTGATTTCACTTTCAGATTTTTCATCATTAGTGCATAGGAATGCAAGAGATTTCTGTGCATTAATTTTGTATTCTGCTACTTTACCAAATGCATTGATTAGCTATAGTAGTTTTCTGGTAGCATCTTTAGGATTCTCTATGTATAGTATCATGTCATCTGCAAACAGTGACAGCTTTACTTCTTCTTTTCTGATTTGGATTCCTTTTATTTCCTTTTCTTCTCTGATTGCTGTGGCTAAAACTTCCAAAACTATGTTGAATAAGAGTGGTGAGAGTGGACAACCTTGTCTTGTTCCTGATCTTAGTGGAAATGCTTTCAGTTTTTCACCATTGAGGATGATGTTGGCTGTGGGTTTGTCATATATGGCCTTTATTATGTTAAGGAAAGTTCCCTCTATGCCTACTTTCTGCAGGGTTTTTATAATAAATCGGTGTTGAATTTTGTCAAAAGCTTTCTCTGCATCTATTGAGATGATCATATGGTTTTTCTCCTTCAATTTGTTAATATGGTTAATCACATTGATAGATTTGCGTATATTGAAGAATCCTTGCATTCCTGGAATAAACCCCACTTGATCATGGTGTATGATCCTTTTAATGTGCTGTTGGATTCTGTTTGCTAGTATTTTGTTGAGGATTTTTGCATCTATGTTCATCAGTGATATTGGCCTGTAGTTTTCTTTCTTTGTGACATCCTTGTCTGGTTTTGGTATCAAGGTGATGGTGGCCTCGTAGAATGAGTTTGGGAGTGTTCCTCCCTCTGCTATATTTTGGAAGAGTTTGAGAAGGATAGGTGTTAGCTCTTCTCTAAATGTTTGATAGAATTCGCCTGTGAAGCCATCTGGTCCTGGGCTTTTGTTTGTTGGAAGATTTTTAATCACAGTTTCAATTTCAGTGTTTGTGATTGGTCTGTTCATATTTTCTATTTCTTCCTGATTCAGTCTTGGCAGTTTGTGCATTTCTAAGAATTTGTCCATTTCTTCCAGATTGTCCATTTTATTGGCATAGAGTTGCTTGTAGTAATCCCTCATGATTTTTTGTATTTCTGCAGTGTCAGTTGTTACTTCTCCTTTTTCATTTCTGATTCTATTGATTTGAGTCTTCTCCCTTTTTT